GCGTTTCCACTACAGCGCGCAGCCCGGTTTAAGAGGGCTGTGACGTCAGCGGCCCGTTTGTGGTTGCGTTTCCACTTGGCCTAGTACCGGCCGGCGGGTCCTAATTCACAGTTTTTCTGGCCTCATAAAATCGTGGGGCCAGGGCCAAAGACAACCGGGCTGAGTTTGTGACGTCAACGCTCTCGGCTGCTGATTGGTCGGAGAGAATCGTCACAATCTGCGCGCGAGATAATCCATTTTTACAAACAGCATTTTTGTTAACAGAGGAGCTACAACAATGGCAAAGAAAAGCACACCATGGTCGGTCGAGGAAGTGACGACGTCCATTATATTGCAGATGATAAGGTCCAGCGGGTGCTCGACGGGACAACTCGCAATATCAAAGTCTTTCAGGAGGTCTCTACACAGACACTGGACTCTCCAACGGCGTTACTGGAGTCTGCATGGTACGTTTTTGCTAACGCTCTGTTATTTGCTTGAAAGCTTTGTGTCCCTGCTTTGTGTCCCTATCTGTTCTAAAGCTCACTTCTAACAAATAAGTCTATTTTATCCTTACATTTATGTTCGACAACCCATGCTTTTATGGAGCCCCGAAGGCTAGCTAGGCAGATAGCATTAGCGAGAGCTATTGTTTGCTAACACCATATGTGCCATTGTTTACGTTCAGTTTGTCTTTTCTATAGTTGTTGTTGCTATTTATAGTATTGTGCTGTAGTAGTTTGTGGAATTTACAAGTCATGTTTCTGTTCTAGATGATTACATTGGGACTAGCGAGGAGGAACAGTTCCGAACAACGTCCTCTGCATCAACATCTGGCCCAGCAGAATCAATGCCATGTCTTATCTTATTGCTTGTTGATAAATAATTGCACCCACCAGCGATCACACAGAAAGATGGCATCATCTAGGCGTCCCTCTGCAGTCAGAAATATCATAAACACCATCGTCCACAAAGCACTGTACAGGGGTTTATGGATTTAAGAGAATACTTATCACAGTGAAACCTTTATCATCTGTTGCAATTAAAGCAAATAAGAGAATAAATACTTGGTTAAATAATACATTTTAACTCTTTAGCAGGACAACTCTGCATATTGTTTGAAATTGAGTTTGCTAGCTTGAGGTCCTCCTCTAAAACATAACATTACATATTTTGTAATGGTATTAAGAATACATGATAAATACATGTAGTAAAAATTACTCAATTGTAATACCCTCGTTGTGCTAGACTCAAACACATTGCTTATATATTTCAAAGAGAAGAGAACAAAAGAAAACACCTATACAAAGAGAGCGGTGCACAGCGCTTAATATTTACTTGCACTATATTTCTGTTGATCTGGGTTATTGTGTTGCACTGTTGGAGGAGCCTGTGACCTAAGATGTTCATTGTCATAACTACACTAGCTATGTTCGTATGACAAAATAAAAAACCTTGAACCTTGAGGCTGTGTCTTTCAGACAAACCATCATAATCATATTATTTTATGCTGTGGATACTTTAGCCTCCATCCATGTTAACAATTTTTTACACTTGCATTTATGAATATAGTTCTGTTGTGTTTTACACTTTTGTATTTATGTTTATAGTTTGCTTTGATATTTGCTTAATTTATTAGATTATTATTATTATGGGGGCAGTACTGGTGCTTGAAATTCAAATATTTACTAAATAGTCAATTCTGATAACATTTTTTTGGTTTAAATAATTTGACAAACACATGTATGTGAAAAAGAAAAGATGTATTTATGTTCAATACAATACAATGAATATTTAGGTATTACATTATACATTCTAGGTATTCAGGTAGCGCATCAGACCCTCTCGTATGTCCCTGCCCTCCTCTGCACCTTGTGCCACTGCTACCCCTGGTAGACGTAGGTTTTCCTCAGGCATCCTGAAGTTCTCCACCCACTGAGTGTGTGTGAAAGATGGAACAATCACATTCCACCACTCGGTAGCTCGGTCGGTAACTTCTGAAATACACAAACAAAAGCATACATATTTTAATACGTAAAAGTGGTAGCTACAATTAATTAAATACTTGAAATACTTTGGTCGTATAGGGAGCGTGAGCCTAAACACATTGCTAGTTAGCGAACGTTAGCTTACCAAGTAGCATTGTAGTTAGTAGTGATTCGAGTCGTCCTGTAGTCTCTGCGGCGTAGGAGGACTGCCCGAACTCTCGCGTCAGCTTCTTCTATACCTCGTCTTGCTATACGTCGCCTCTTTCGAAACAACTCTTGTCTATTTCTTGTGATAATAAACCACACAGCAAAAAACAAGCAAACGATCGCTTTCACATCTCCACATCCTCCATTGTTGTGTCGCATTGAAGATGACGCCACGGCAGTTTTAAGCAGCGTCGCTCCGCCTACACTGCGTTACTATAGATACTACCCCAGTTCCTAAACTGTAATGGAAACGCGCCATAAAGTGAGCTGGTCCTAACGAGGCCAATCGCGGCCCAGCCATACCGAGCGGGGCCGAGCGAGGCCGTGTAGTGGAAACGCGCCATTAGTATCACCTGCTGGTGTTTAGCTGCTGTCCTGTGCCTTAAATCGTTTGTTTACGTCCCTCACTTCCGTTTCGCTTCTCATTTGCTAGCTGAACAGCTGATCAGAGTGGTTTCTTGGCCCGATAGCTTGTGTCCGACACCCGGCCGATTCAACATGTTGAATCGGCTGGGTGTCGACCGTGAAAGGCCAAATATGGCGTGTCACGGCCGAGGGTTCGGGACACACCAAATTGACTTTGGGCGACAAGGAACCCGTTGTCGCCAAACAACGCAAGACGGCCGATATCGGCCTGGTGTGTAGGGGCCTTTAGAGCAATGGGACGTCCTTTCCTCCGGGGGGTCACGTGAAGCGACGTCCGTTTGTGATGACGCTGCACAGCTGATCGTCTGACAGTAGCCAGCTCTGTCCCCGTTATTTTCACAAACACCCCCGCCTCTGTTAGTACACATTTACTGACACAAACATTTGTATCATCTGTTGTAGACCCAAATAAATCAAATCAAATAAGAACTCATTCTCAAAAAAGATAAACGCCATTCTTAAAATGTATAAACGAGCAATAGTTAGATTAATATTGATTAGAGTGCACAATAGAAATAAAATAATTGAGAGACGAAAAAGAGATATGTTATCTATCAAAACCCAGTTAGATTAACATTCATTGGATTGGACACTTTGTCTGTTTGTGTGGATATGTAGCAAATTAACATGTTAAATAGCACTTAATGACTGACTGAATGGAAATGACAATAAATGAACATGTAAAACGGAAAAAGCGATCATGAAAATGTTTCCAATAAATGAATAAAATAATTTTTGACCACTTTGTTGTTCAGATATATCACATATTTGTAACTGAATGATGCATGAATTGAAACAAAACACAGTATGAACTGAGGAGTGAGTCCCGTGAGTTTCATGTGTTTTCTTCACTCCGCTGGGAAACTGCTCTCATGTCAAGAAGCATCAGATCAGTGCATGCACTGCATCGTCCAATCAGTGAGCGATACACAGTAAGGGGGCGGGGCGAGTGTCTGAGGATTTCATCGAAGGATGGTCTGGTGGTTCCTCGATTATAGCTCCTCCATTATCGCTCCTCGCTCCTCGGTCCTCCGGCAAAAATAAGGCCATTGGGACGCTACTCAAGATGGCGCAGACAAATCAACTTCCGGTGAGACCGAGACCGAGGAGCGAGGAAATGAAAAATGTGAAAAAAAAAGTGAAACGCAGCCATAGTGGATGTGTGTGTTTGCTTATGCGTGTGTGCTCGTTCCCTGTTTAAAAGAAAAGGCATTGAGTAAATATTTAGCCTACACTGAACAAAACCCCCCCGGACTCACACCTTTGCCATAGTTTCTAATCCAAATGAAAAATGTTTTACCTTTAACCAGCGCCATATAGATAGAAGAGTTACGACAGCGGAAGTCCAAAATGCTTGATCGTCACGTGGTTCAGGGAGAGTCAATAGTTCCCCGGAAGTTCGTGGCGGGACATATGAATGCATGATTACCGGAGATAGAACTACGATTTTTGGTAATAAGTAGTGAATAAAGGTCTTGATTTGCAATATTTATGCAACATACCGATATGTGTATGTATTTACATCAATATGTTTTAAAAAATAAATAGAATCTGCTAATATTTATGGATAATATTAGGAATAGTGTGAACAGCTAGTTTACTTGTTAACATATACATGTTAGGCTGTTGCCTTGGTTAAAGAGCCTGTTGCTGTTGTGTATTGCTTTGAATTATTTAAAACAAATATTATCTTCTTAAACAGGTATGGTAGTCAGGAGCATCACTTCCTAATGTTTATTGATATATTTAGAGGGAGGGGATGGCAAGGAATGCTTCAAAATTTAGATTAGATTAATTTCTACCATTTTTTAATTCATGGTGGTTTCAGTAATCCCATGGTACTCGAGGACATAAGTAATCTAAATGACTAATGTACTCTTTATGACTTTCAGAAAGGACAGGAGACCAACAGGTGACTATCAATGGACTAGCAGCAACATGATTATGACGTTAAATGTGTTGTTTTAGGAACATCCATTGTAAATACATGGAATTCAATAAACATTGAATAGCATGTCATGCAGTTTGTCTGTGCCTTTTCCTCCGTGTTGTCCTGACATATAGTCTCCACCATGGTTTGCTGTGCTGCCTGGGGATGATCCAATCGCTCAGAGAAAGGAGTAAGAATCAGAATGTACGGCTTCCCCACTGACACAGAGAGGAGGGAAAGGGTTATACACACCTATATAGCACACCTATTGGATGGGAAATTGCCTTGGGGAGATAAGGTGTGGTCTTTGTTTCCAACTGAAGTTATGGAACTTTATTATTTGTGAGTTTAACAAAGTATGACAAATGGCATCAGTAATGGATGTGATATGAATTTGAATCTGCCCCTCCACCTGTAATCTATTATACGGCTCTGCCTTTAACCATGTCACACTGACATTGCCTGAAGGCATGTGGCGTAGTGGATTGTGCGTTGGTGTTGGGATCAGGGGGTCACAGGTTCAAACCCCACTGCAGTCAGGAAGTCGTTGTGTCCCTGAGACACTTCACCCCAAATTGCTCCTGTGGGGATTGTCCACAGTATTGAGTACGTAAGTTGCTTTGTATTTTTTTTTATATCTGAGACCTATGATATATGCCTAAAAACAGCATAATAGGAGACCTTTAAGTGTAGTTTATCACACACACATCACATATATTCACATATTACTCTGTCTTTACCTCTGTGTGTCTGTTGGCATTTTACCCTGAGTGCAATGCTAATCTTCTACATATCATATTCTATTTACATGTATATAGACTTCTTGCACTATTTGTATTTTATTATATATGTTGCATTGTTGGAGGAGCTCAGGTCAGAAGAATTTCATTGCCATTTCTACACTGTAGCTGCTGAGCATATGACATTAAAACCTTTGAATCTTTGAATCTTGAATCCAGTGTGTGTGTGTTCACATAATCTGGTCTTTATATCTGATTTCTCCCGTGTTTCCTCAGACTGTGTCAGCGTTCGAGTCCCTGGGGTCAGAAGGCTTTCTCTGGATACCTGGGGTCGGACAGAGACACCTGGCAGGTGAGAAGCTCTGAGAAACACACCTTTCTATCATCAGATTTATCTTGATTTTATATATTTTTGTTGTAAGAATAGGTGTGAACAAAATATATGACTATTATCAGATTTTATCATCACCCTAAAAACATATATATTTTTGTTGTGGTTGTATAAAAGTACAAGAACGAACAAAATAGATGAAAACAAAGATGGATTAAAGCAGAATATTTGGTTAGACGAAAATATTTTATGTGAAGTTTGGACATAATTATCATGATCTTATTTGGTAATCTATTTTAAAGAGCATTTTAAAAGCAAGCTGGAGGTTTATAGAAAAAGCACCTATTTTTCTGTTTCTTTAATATTTATTCTATTTATGTAAGTGTTTATTGGAGCCTCCAGAGCTTTATGACGTTTGACTAATGACTCGTTTGTTACGATGATTTGTCTTTTTACTTCAAACTGAATCTATCGAACGATACAGTAAATAACCTGCCATCCACTATTTTAGTATTTCAATAAATGTTGACGTGTGTGTGTCTCTCTGTGTGTGTGTGTGTGTGTGTGTGTGTTCACATGTGTGTGTGCTTGTGTAGAATCCTAGTTTTTGTGTCCGAAAAAGACCCCATACCTTTTGCACTGTTTCGCTCCCTCTGTAAGTAAGAGGTCCTTTAGAGTTACTGTTATGATACTGTTCCTAAAAAAGGAGTTTATGTGTGTTTCCGTTGTTCCATCACTGTTTACTGAACATCTGACGAGTGATCAGGATGTAAGGTGTTGAAGACATTCAGTTTCAAGTTAGCTTAACACATCTGTGTTTATTCGGGTTCATTTAACTGCACTGCCACTATTGTGTTTTTTACATCTATCCCTATGCTATGATATTTTCTGCTGACCCTAAAGTATTGGACACCCCTCCCCGCTTGTTTGTGACAAAACCTATACTGTATATTGTTTTCTTTCTGTGTGTCTTTAAAGGTGAATGAACCTGTCAATGATGAGAACAAGCTGACGGTGAGTTTGTGTTTGTGTTTAAACTTCTCTGTGTAATGTCTGGTTCGGGTCATATTATGTAAATGGTATTAATTGGCCTTCAAATATTCCCATAGTAGTCTATGTGTCGTAATCAGTCATGACACATTTTATAGTAAAGTGGTTTCGAGACACATTTTTAAATATACATATTTTACAGTCATTCACAGAATATATATTCATCGTTTCTCTCTGTATTTATTTTGGTATTTGTACAGGCCAAACCGAGGCTGCAGAGGGAGGGAAGCTGTGCTTCTTTACACAACTCACTGATGAGGAACAGTATCGTTCAGCTCATGATACACACACTTGACCCTCTCAGTGACGAAGGTACGGGTAAGACTTAAAAAAGCACGACACACACACACATACTGAAATGCAATATGATCTCTCGTAAAAAATAAAATGTCAAAATCAGAGGATGCGCTACAATTGAATTGACATTGTATTCATAAATAAACAGCTTTAGTGAAGATTATGATTCAGACAAGGTTTGGGTGAAGGGATACTGTCTATGGAATGTCTTCATTTGTCTAACCACTTTTCATTTTTCTCTTTACCTCTTTCCTATTAAAAATAGTCCCAGCTGTGGAAATACACCCACCATTTCACAAAGCATGTATTAATACAAATACATTTTAAATGTTCAGCAGAGCAAGCTGGACTGACTGAGTCTCCTTCCATTGAATTAGGGCGTTTCAAAGAAAAAGCATCAATCCTTAACAAAATGGCCAAGCAGAAGTGTAAAGAAGATGCTGTCACTGCTAACGGTGTAGGTGAGTAACAGCGACGTATGAATCTGTGTTCCTCAGACTGAATGAATGGACACTGAGCAGTGAGAGTTCTTACAGCATCATTATCCTCTTGCACTTTTTATTTTGGTACACATTTTCGATATATTTAATCAGTGTGGTAGTTTACTGCCAAACATGCCCAAATATAATAATAGATAGCTTTGACTGAAAATGTATCATTTTATCATCAAAAGTTATATTTTATTTGCTCATGTATTCATGTTTTAACAGAAAGTTGTGGATTATTTTATGCTATATAAATGGTAAAATACCGTCAATACTCCCAATGAATTATCTGATACTTAAGCTCTGTTCCTTTCTCTCTTCCTTTTCTTTCCTCCAGCCGATAAAAACATCCCAAACAGTTCAAACGTTGCAGTGGAAGTCACACCGCCCAGTAACGGTGTTGCAGGAGGGGAAGAAGAAGACGTATGGCTGAATGTTATATTGAAATATGATTAAATATTTAAATAACTATAAACACAGTTGATGTGAAGTAACAAACTCCTTCTTCAGGGTGATGAAAATGATGACGATGAACAGCCTCTGAGCCTGGCCTGGCCCGACACCAACAGGAAACGTATCATCTACCTGGTTATCCTGCCCATCATCCTGCCACTGTGGCTCACACTGCCCGACGTCAGGAGAGAGGTGACACCACACACACATGAGCACACACACAAACAATGAAAATCATGTTTATGTGTGTACACGTATTAAATCTCACATCCACACGACATACTTGCATAATGTTAATTTAGATACAGAACTGTTCCACTGCTGTGTTGACAATTTCGTTTAATTTTGAAGCATGAGAAAATGTAAAAACACTAATCTAGTAGGAATGCACGATTACAAATGTTTGACAATGACAAAATGCCAATATTTTCCAAGTCATTTTGGCCAAATGCAGATGGCAAAACCAATATACACAAACAAATGTTTTATATAAGAAAACCACTTTAATTTAGGTTACATATTCATGACCTGCTCAATAAATATGAGAGCTACAGCAGGTTCCAGTAATGTTTTTTTGTTGTCGTTTTCTTTACCTCTTGGACTATACATTTGCATCCAAATGCTTTATTATGACCTTACATTAAGTGTGAAGTATATCGAGGGGGGGGGGGGTTAATTGTTGAGTGTGCGGTATAAACTGAACTTTTTTTTTTTCTTGTTGTCTCAGACCTCGGCCAGATTCTTCCCTGTCACTTTCATCGGTGCCATTTCTTGGATTGCTTTCTTCTCCTACCTGATGGTGTGGTGGGCTTACCAGGTACGTTCTCTCTATTTGTCTCTCATACAACAACTCTCTCCTTTTCCTGAGGCCTTTCTTATGAGTCAGTGCAGCATTCAGGGTGTTGAATGTGTGACCACGGCAGCTAATCCCAGCTAATCCGCCTTGATCCACAGCCAGATCAACCTGGGGGCTATACTACGAATCAAGATTTTCGTTTAGCAAGCTAACTTCAGGGGTTTCCGGTCCTACGAAGCTGGTTCACTTTTTAGCGGGCTAGATAACTTATTCTGAACGGCTATCCTCCGGAGCAGGATAGGTTCCAGGATAAAAGCACTGCCTGCTGACCAATCAGAGCTCAGTGTGCGGAGTTTAAAGCGATCAATTCATATGACAGGAGGAGAAAGGAAATACAGTTTAAACTGCCGTTGCAGGAAAGACAGCCGGCCAAAATCACCGACTGTGTGAACGTGAAAATGAATAGAATATCACCTCCCATCTTCAGAGCAATCTGACTATTATAACATTAGCGTTAAGAAAGCTTACTTAAATATCTGCCACAACATAAGTAACCTACAGTCCGCGGCACTGTGAGTGCAGACGTACCCCATTATCATTCATATCACATGATATCACATCATAATGTATCATATATTTCCTTATCTGAGTCAGCTTCTTGAGCCGTATCTGGGCGTGCAACACTCACAGTGTCACATACTGTATGCAGAAGTATTATTTTAAGCAACACATTAAGTTGACGAAACACGAGTCAAATGTAATTAAAGTCAGATCCACTTGTGTCTTGGACGGGGCAGTGATATCATAAACCTGTTAATGTACGCATTCAAACACTTTTTCTTTTACCAGCAGTATTCACCTTGCAGCTGCAACTATGTGGCTTTTATCCTGGATAAAGTGTTTAAGTCATGGATGTTTAAAGTTTAACGTCTTCATATTTGTCTAATATTAGTTGACTTTTCATTCAGGAAATATATGACGCGCTGCGCTGTCAGTACACGGCTTGTCCATGTTTGTGATTGGTCGAATGCTCCAAATACCACCCCTTTCATGTGAACGCGCACCTAACTAGATAGGACAAGGCTGGCTTGCGGTCGAGGTGATAGCCAGCGTCGTAGGACAGTTTAGCGAGAGCGTTTTTTTTTTTTGGATTTAGTCAGCCGGATAACTCAAAACATATCCAGGATATGTTGAACTAGATTCGTAGTATACCCCCCTGTACTGCTCTATTTTAACAGCGCAGATGCAAAGACGGGCCTGAAGCATGAGGTCATGTTGTATGCAAGGTCACTGAGGAGACGCACGTGCCATTTTTGTGCCAATAAATGCAGAGCGCAGTCGCCATAAATGTTAAATATCTGTTGGATAGAATAATAAATATCACAAGTCAGTTTATTTATTATGAGGTTACATATAATTAAATATATCACTAAACTGTAATGTTTAAGACTCCATGATGATGCCCTTATTTATGATATAAATACAGTTGTCATGAACGGGAAAATAAGCTCCACAACAAAAAAATATTTTTTTAAACAAGCTACTTATATCTGAATTTCTGCTGCAAAGTTGGGCATTTTAACATAGTGGTCCGTGGAAATTGACACGCTTTTGGAGCCAGCCTCAAGTGCCCATTTTATAACTTCAGTTTTTAGAACATCCAAGTTCAATCTTCAACCCCGGAGGTAACCGCCTAGCCTGACATGTTTCAGGAAAAATCAGAAACACGGTAACAAGAATCTTTGGACCAACATGAAAATGATGCCGTTTTTTTAACTGTACAGCTGCAACTTGTTCTTCCTTTCAGGTTGGAGAAACGTTCTGGATTACGGAGGAGATAATGGGACTGACTATACTAGCAGCCGGCACTTCAATCCCGGACCTGATCACCAGTGTGATTGTGGCGCGAAAAGGACTGGGTGACATGGCCGTGTCCAGCTCTGTCGGCTCCAACATCTTTGATATCACTGTGGGGTGAGTCCAGAAAACAACAAGAACACACATACAGAGTAATAGTCCAAAGTCATATCTGTTTTTAACATGTTCCTCTCCTAACTTAATAAACTCCCTTATCTCCCTCTAGTCTGCCATTCCCCTGGCTCATCTACCACATCATCAACGACTTCAAACCGATCCAGGTCAGCAGCAACGGACTGTTCTGCGCCATCGTCCTACTCTTCCTCATGCTCCTCTTTGTCATCATCTCCATCGCGGCTTGCAACTGGAAAATGAGCAAGTCTCTCGGCCTTCTCATGTTCCTGCTGTACGTTGTGTTCCTGGTCCTCAGCGTCATGCTGGAGGACAAAATCATTACCTGCCCCATCACCGTCTGAGAGAAGCCACTTCCACCTAACGCCAGAGAGCTGAAATTAAGAGCGAAGGGGTTCAAGTGTACCCTGATTTACTATAGGAGAGGAAGGACGCACAGACACAAACTGTCTATCTGTCTCACATACATATAGAAGACACACTCACACATCCAAACACACGCAAGTTAGGCAGGGGTACTGACTGAAATCAAGGCTGCAAATTCACACCGGTGCATCACAGCCATCCAGCAATGGCGTACAGAACGAGCCTGTACGTCATTGACACACTTTATGCCACCCAGTATGAGTGACTCGTCTCTGTTTGTTCCATGTGACTTCATTCAGTTTCCATTTTCTGGTTGAACCTGACGAACAAGTTATGTGAACGCCACCTGGGATGGGAATTTCCATACGATCACCAGAGATTGTTTTGGGGTTTTTTTTTCAAATAGAGGACCATGTTGCAGTATACAAACTACCCTCGCTACTCATGCAACCAGCCAAGCAATGCAGATGAACTGTTCATGTGGGAGATTATAGAAACCCTTTTGTTTTGGTTTGGTTTCGATGGGGAGCAAAGCTCTGGAGAGATCCTGTTTGTCAAAACTAAGAAGAAAGGGCCGGGGCAACTCATAAGTGTGATAGCTGCTTAGAAATGTTAACCTTTAGATTTTAACTGTGTTCATTTCACCTCCAGTATGACTTTGCAATGTGATTGACAGAGATATCCCCCGGGTTTATAACATGAGTCTGTTTAAACACAGTATATTTGAGATGATATATTGAAAACACAGTATATTCAAATGTTTGGCATAAATGCTTACATTACTTCCCAATCATGAGAATCTATAATAGGTCCAAATAGATAGCATGGACCCATTAAGCCCAACTATTTTATTTGGGTTTTTTCAGATAATATCTTCTGTTCTGTTTGCCTTTACATGCATCACTTTAGAGAGAGATTACTTCAGTATCCTGACTAAAACAGGAGGATTTTCCTCATGGAAATGTACCAGGTCTGGTGTCACATTTACCAGTAGATGATGCAGTGTGGACAACAAGTGTTTGACTAAAGATTAGTGTTCCTCATTTAATTTTACTTGATGAACGCAAATGGGTTTTTTCTGTTTTTTTTTCTTCTAATTATGTATTTGTAAAAATGCGTGTTCAATATCACCAGGTATCACTGGATGTGTCCTGTATTGGTTTGATGTAAAACAACACTTGTACTGTATAATATATTGCGCCGCTATGTTCACATAGCATGAACATAATGTGTTCAGTGCGTGGCATAGAGGCTGAAATATTTTTCTTTTATCCAACTATTATAAGAAACATCGGTTTGGCCATAACACAAACCAGCCAAGGTGAACACCTCAGGTCACACAACAACAACTCTGTTAAGGCAGTGTTATATGAACAAATCAAGAAGTTAGAGAGAGGGTTGCTCGTGCCTAGTACTTCAAGCACATCATCTTTGATTAGACTCTGTCTATGAAAACCATAAAACAGTTTAATCTATTAAGAGGAGTTAAAGAATGTTTGTTTGTGTTTCTCCAATTCTGCTGCCACAAACCTCATTAACCAAACAATTTGTGGTGAATAAGAAATGGCTTATTCATTTCTGAGAATCATGGTATGCTGCAGGAGGCAATGTTAAAGTATTCTCATTTAATCCCATGCAAATGTATATTTGACATCTTTCATTTTGTCTTTGCGTCAAAGTGCGCTGCTTCTGCCGGGGTTAGCTGGTTTTTCCAGTCTCCAGCAATTCCTGAAACACAACATGGGGAAAAAAGGAAATCCTTATTCAGTTGGAGAAATATGTGCACCTTTCTATCTTATTTTGAATAGACACATATGTTCTTGCTATTTAGAAATACAGTATGTCAGTTTCTATGTGAGGATTCCCTTATGGTCCTGATACCATCCACCAAACATGACTCGGCACCAATGAATGCCCTACCCCCAAAGACCAGTTATGACTAGATAGTACAATATTAGTGAGAAAATAAAACAATAAAGCCCAGCAAACTCTAAACTCATGAACAGATCATTTCAGGTATACAGTATTTGCATTCTTTTGGTTGTTGTATTTTGATGTGTTAATTGTTGCATTAATGCAATATTACATCACTATAATCATTCTACTAAATGGCATGCTTTCTGTTGGGGAAATAATTTCCAAGGCCCATAATTTTGACCCAGTTTATCAGTTCATTGACTGTGAGTGGCAGCATGACTGATGCTCATCAGAACAGAAACAGGAACACTTGATCAACCGGACAAGAATTCATGTTTTGTTCTTCATCAACTGGGAGGATGCAGTATTTGATGTACATTTTTGGTATGGAAAACATTTAACTAAATTGTGCTCTCTGCTCTAAATCTATAAACATTGAAATCTCTCACCAGCTCTTTCCCAGTGCGCCATGATGTCCAGCAGGGGAATAGTGTGTGGATTTGAAGTCGCAGCGGAGCACTGAGAGATTCACATCTATTATAAGTCTCCTCACAGCCCCCTGAGGGAGGATTTGTTCTGTGGAAAGCTAAACTATGCCACCCAAGGTAGTTCCACAACCTCTGACCTACATGACATCCCTCTCTGGCTGTCAAATCATGTGACCTGTCCCTCCACAGGAGGTAGTCACGGCTCAGCTCTTTTTCAATGTAGCGTTTTATTGTAACTTCCCACCCGTAGAGAGCACTTAAAGTTATGTGTTTACTAACTGCGAAGTAATAAACTCTGCACCCCAAAATGATGCCTCTGTGTATAAGTGTGTGCTGGCTTGCATATGTGTGTGTATTTGCGAATTGGTCCTTGTGGTCAACAAGTGTTCTGATGAGAAGGTTTCTTTGTTATTAATCAAGATTGAGCTAGGGTCAGCAGCGATGTATTTCACTTATTTTTATTTTGACTTTATTTAAAATATAACGCTGTGAGCCATCAGTTGAAAGACATTTTATCATGATTGATGGAGGGAAACGTTTTTCTTTATTTATAGCAAGCATTTCTTGACTGCCATGTAAGGAGGTGCCTTTGCATTGTTGTTGCAAAGCCAAAAGACAACATTATTGCCAGAGAATATTTAGATCGTTTTAACCCTCTATGGCTGTATCATGTAGCTGGGTTAGTGCCCATTGTCTGGCTGTAGATGAACATCATCTTTAGCATGGAGTGAAATAAAGGAGGCTATGCTAGTGCTACTGCTAACAGTCCTGATATATATCACACATTATGACAAATAACGTTGCTGTTGCGAATAACTGTATAAAATTCAGTTCCAACGTTTTTAGTCACTTGGTGTTATAGTATCATAGTTGTTCAATACAATCACACTGTGTACATAAATACATGACCACAGTAAGTATCAAAGGGCGAATGTGCTTTAAATCTGCATTCACTCCAACATTCAGCAGGGTGTAACTCCACTGGTGAGATGAGAGGAGAAAATGACCCGTTTTATTATCTCAGCAAACATTTTCTAATGGGTTCATGGTCTTCTACAATATAGAATTCATTTGCAAAAGAATGGTCCCATTCCTGCGTAAAATAAGAACAAAAGCAGGCAATGGTAAATGGACTCGCATTTATATAGTACCTTCCTTGTCTTCCAACCACTCAAAGTGCGTTTACACTACTTCCACACACACACTCATACACTGATTGCAGAGGCTTATCAGGATCTAATCTTGCTGCTCATTCACACACTCATTGTGACTGAGAAATCTCTACCATGGAGCCGCTACCACACGGTGTTGTCTGATAACTGTGCAGGGAAGAAAACTAAAATACAATCTTTAAAATGTCCCTATAATGCTAGATCCAAGGATCAATAGATGGTTTTACTCAGTGTTTAGTTATAATACACGTTCATGACCTTCTTAAACATATTAACTCAGGGGAAACTCTCTTGTGAGGGCTTCGCCGTGATTCTTCAGCACATGAACACCTGTTGGAGCTGTGTTTGACAATACATATTGGTCTCTGACCGGCTCTATTATAACATATGGGGGTGTAGAGTATTGTTGATGAGGTAACGGAGAAGTGTCAGTGTGTCTCCCAACCACATTTCTCAGCCAGCCTGGGGATTTGAACTGTTGACCTTACAGTTAACAGGCCTGTATCTCTAAACATGATGCTACTACTATCCTGTTAGGATTAAGTCAAAACAGAGCAGTAATACCAGAGGAATCCATCCAAAGTTAGTACATTAATATTTGCATAATTATGTTCACATAGGAATAAGCGGTCAAAATACGTCTGAATTCTTGGCAATACACTGTGTGACCCTACCTCCTGACTGAGCCATGAGAATGTCTGTACTGTTTATACAACTACCAGAAAGCACAGTGTCCTGACCTAAAGCTAAGCCTATAACATGTGTTCCGCACTCAATTACATGTGTTGAGCTTTGATTTGATATGATTAAATAACTGTTGTACCGGGATGTCATTTGCCTGCAATTCATCTCCAGTGGGAGTTTAGTTACATGTGTTCTAGTCATCTTGCTGATTGGGTCTGACCCATGTGTCCATACAGTGTTTACACACACATACTGTAACATCACACCTCCAAAATGACGCCAGAATTCATAGGTTTGAACTGGACTCATGAAACACGTGAATATTTCATTATGCCCTTTCCCAAGTAAAGCAAGTTCACAATCTGGACTCCAGACTGGGTATGAGAAAAACGTAACCTCTCGAGGGTCAGCCGGGAAAGTCCAGTCCAATATAATCTGATGTCTAACTCCAATAACCACACTGAAAAGGAAATGTTGGGAGCTTGTTTGTGTTCGACTTTGAGCCAAAGGCCTTGAAACGGCATGCACAGGAGGGACAGGGCTTGTCGTTACCTTGCTCTAATGGCTGGTTTTACAGGAACAGGAGAACATTAGGTACACATTTGGTAACATTAGCATTCATTTACCCTGGCTGTACACCACATCCAACCTGATGCCAAACCACTAAAAGCTTTACCTTGGAATAATATTTCGATATAACTATTACCTGGGGATTCTTTTGAAGGTGAATTGGTCAAGAGATTATTTTTGAATTAAGTTTTGTACAGTATCATTTTTCTTAAAAAACGACATGATTCCAATGCAG